AACATAAGACCTACCCCCAAAATAAGCCCTAGCAGAATTTCTATGCATTTGTTAAGTATAAGCCCTACCCCGATAATAAGACCTAGTGATGGGGGTTGGCTATGCAGCTATGCTGCGTATCCGCATAGCCATGCCATGCAGTTTGGCGCGGAGCAGTATGGAAGACTGGAATACCTTTTATCTGCCACAGCTCCTTTCTTTGAGCCGTTGTGGTAACTGCGGTTGCAGGCATCCTATTGTGCACAAGTGAACGGCCAGGGGAAAAAAGTTCACGCATCACTAGCGCCAGCCCTACCAACAAGGTCAGCTCCCCCTGTCAGGTTCCAGAAGAAGATGACTTAACTATATTTGAACTATATAAATGTAGATTGTTGTATTATACTTAATAAAAATAAGACATCCCCTGAAAATAAGCCCTAGTGTGTCTTCCTGAGAATAAATATAAAACACTGTTTTATTTTTAGGGAAACACGATACCTGTGTTCCTTGCAGATTAAAAAGAATACTTTCTCACCTTAAAATTTTTGGGGTTTTTTGTGGTTTTTGGCCAGGACTGGGTTTGAACCCGCCACCTCCAGCATATGGGGCCAGTGCCTTACTCCTTTGAGCCACAGGCACCGCCCCTTAAAATTCTTTAAACCTAATTCCTGCTTGGGGAGTCATGTAGTAGCACCCTCCAAAAGAACATGAAACATATAGTGAGGATCACAGAACTGGGAGATGCCAGAGTTGCACAAAAAAGGATTTATTGCTTGCTTTTAAAACAAAATAAGGCAACCTCAGAGAACTTAATTTTAGTGAAGAAAATACTTGTAGAAATGTGAAACTTTCCTAAATACTACTTTGTCAGAACTTTCCAGAAGCAAGTGCCAGGCTGGACAGCACAGCAGACTGTGGGGGCCCCAGAGCCAAACCACTGGATGTGGCCACTGCTTAGAACCGTGGCTTGCGCTTGCGGCCCGTGTATTGAGTGTCAGGTCTGACTTCCCTGTGAAAAGAACAGGACAGTCTCAGAAAAAAGAACAAAGCAGCCCTGAGATCCCCTCAAATGCTGATAAAGCCTTTAATGGCAAGGGAAGTATCCCTTCCAGCCTTTGCCCACTGTTTACCATTCCCAGTCCCAATCCAGTACTCACTTGCCCTGCCGCCTACGACGCTCCTTCTTCTCCAGCACCCACTGTCGGCTCTTCCTCACTAACTCCCGCCTCACCATCCTGTATGAGACCCTGGCACCAGAGACACAGCTATGAGCAAAGTATAGAGCTGCCTGGATGGCACATGTAAACTTAGGCAGGGGAAGATGGTAAGCTTCCCTCTGAGTCAGATGCCCCCAGATGTCCCTCCCTTCCTCCTTTCCATTCTACAATACCAGTCCCCACTCAGGACACCCTCACCCTCCTTCCTGGCAACACCCACTGGGGCCAAACAAGTTCAGCAGGAGGGTTAGAAGTGAGGGGTCACTCCTTCACAGGCAACTCTGTGAATGACCACTTACTGGGTATACAGACATCCTGTCTAGATCAAATCATGAAAGCCTAGCAGTGTCCATGGAAAGCCACAGTCCCCATGGGGTCAGCATGCCTAGTGTCAACCCAGTGGGGGGTCCTAGTAACTGGCAATCCTGACAGTGGTTCTCAGGGGCTGAATTTGGCCTCCATCCTTGGCTGAGGAAAAAGTGAACCCCCACAGGCCCAAAACAGGCCCTGAGAAAAAGGTGAATTTGCCCCCAAACCACAAGCCCACCTGGTAGTGGAGATTAAAGCATAACTTGAACAATTGCTGCTTGTCATGTGAGTATCAACCTTTTACCAAGCACCTGCAGGCACAGTCCATGTTTATTCAATAGTGGCATGAACCAGCCTTGCCCTTCAAGAGACCACTCCACTAAGCCAAGCCAAGTGCAGAGAGACCCAAGAGCTGCCAAGAATACACCAAGGAAATACAAGCATAGAAATGACCTGGTATTTCTATAGACGGCATGGGGGTACGCCCAGGCTATACTCCACCCAGTGACCTGGTAAGGAGTCACTGTGGAAAGACTGAAGGAAAAGGCTGCCTGCAGTCACCAGACAGGAAGGGGAAAGTGGGCTAGGACATGGAGATCTGAATATGGGAGTCTGTTCCCCCCTTCAGGAAGCAGCATTAACATGCTTCATACCAATGCAATGACACAACATCTTCTAGACTTTGGGGTGTAGAGACAATGGTTCATGACAGGAATTTAGGGAAGCCTACAAGTAGGGAACAGAAAGAGAGACATGGAAAGGAGGGACTGAGGAGGACGGGAAGGAGGAAAGAGGCCTGGAATAAGCTGGACACTGGTGACTGTCCTGAGAAACCAGGAGGGCTGAGCTAAAGCCGAGCAGGAGGGAGCTGCACACTGAGGGGTTAAGATGCAGGATTCATCCCAAAGGTTCCTGAAGAAAATATAAATTGTGGGAGCACATTGGCAAATGGGAGGCAAGAGATGAGCCACAGAAACAAGGGAAGTCATCAAGGGAAATAAAGGGAGCAGGTAAAGATGGGGGGGGTCCCTCAAATGTGCCAATAGAATAGAGGTGAAGGTGACAGTGCCAGGGAATGGGGAACCCAGCCCCGCAGTGCAGGCAGGTGAGAAGCATGGGAGGGTGGAGCCCGGCCAACAAGTATAAAGGAAGACACAGGTGAGACAAAATTACACCAAAAAATGCAAGTTGGAGATAAACTGCACTCTAGCCTCAGGGATAAAGTGGGAAACCATTTCTTAAAAAAGAAAAATGACAGGCTGTCTCAGATCCTAGTAAGCAGGCAAGTTAAAAGTTAAGATAAGGATGAGAAGAAAAAGACTGAGAACAACCACAGAACAATCTGTGATAAGATAGAAGCATGAACCCAAAAGCTTAAAAACTTTTCCATAGTGCACCTATTTATCGTAAGGGTCCTGAATGTGACTAGACAGAGGTAAGGGTAATGGGAGAAGATCCTTCCCTTCCTTCCACCTAATCAGAGGAACTACAGAACAAGAATTTGCAGAACAGATGAGGAAAAAAGGGACG